TTAACTTCTTTTCTAAACTGGATCAGGTGTAAAAAAAAAAAAAAAAATTTCGTCTTGATTTTCCACGGTTACAGGGTTGAGGCGGCTATAACAAATGCGGCCCCTCGCCTCTACAACTTCCTCTCATAAATATTATAGCAGAGAAGCTTGTCCATCATGTCCGCGTGGGTCAGAATCATCCTCCTGCAGCAGTATCTCGTTAAATTTAGTTCGTCCAGGGCATCACCCTTGGAAATTCCTTCTTCTAACTTCTTCTCGTACAGACTCCACAGGTTTCCAATAAGCTTCCCGCAGGTGAAGCAGCGTATGGGGATGATCATTTTGGTCCTTCGTTTTGTTCCAGTGTGTTGCTTCTGCTGGCGCGGGTGGGGGTAGCACGCGCGTACGTACGTACGTGTATATATGTATATTTATACGTTTTGTTTTTTTCCCTTAACTGGGGTGCTGTTAGGCTGCTCGCATGCCAGTCCCTCTTCTGCTATGTACCTTCGATTCACCTCACACGCTGTCCACGCTGAAAGGGAACTCCACATACGCGTTAATCATACAAAGCTGCGTGCGATCCGTCTCTCACTAATCAGTACAACCTCTTGCCATACTGTTGCTCAGCTTCTCCGTCGTTTTAAGCGCTCATACATATATACATATATACATATGCATAAATACGGCTCTTTTTTGTAATGCTCCTTTTTTTATTTGTACTTCCCTCTGGGCCCACTTTTTTGTTCTTTGCTTTATTTTACCAGGCTGCTTCAAACGGGAGAGTAGAGCAAAGCTTTTTAAACAAGGAACAAAATGGTTCAGTTGAAAAAATAAGCAAAAAGGGAAAAGAAGAAAAGAGCCCACAAGTTCTGTTCGCGCATTTGGGTCGGTAGGTTCTCTTTTGCGCGTCACAAAAATGGCTAATAAAATGAAAAAAAAAAAAAAAAAAAAAGGGGTAAAAAAAAAAAAAAAAAAAAAAAAAAGGTTGATCACAGGCCCCTTTGGTGAGACAACCATTCGCAGGTGTACATTTGGCTGCAAGTTTGAGATGCGATCGAGACGTGGTAACACAAGGTGCAAACTTATCACCAGATCGTATGACACGCAGGAGTCGCTTCAGTCAAACAGAGCCAATTCAAATAAAGAGAAAGGGGGAAAAAAAAAAACACGCGCTCAATAAGGTATGCGCGAAAAGGCAAACTCGTAACAGGGTCCAACGCGAAACATGGAGGAACGCCCCACGGGCATGAGGAGCCTCCCCTTGACGGAAAAAAAAGGCAAGACGAAGAGGATAATCCAGTCCAGCGCGGACGCCCCCACAAAGGAAGACCTACAAATATGTTTCCACCTCCCCAACGGAGAGACACTCACAATGCTGGAGAACGGGGGCATAGAAGTTGGCCATTTGAAATTGAAGCTTTCGAAACTGTTGGGGAAGCCCTATCAGCAAATCTTCTTAACGTACAATAATATGTCCATGTTGGATCCCTTGTCCATAATCGACGTGATTAAGAAAAGCAATTTGCAAGACATCCACATCGAGGTGGGTTATTCGGATTAATGCAGTCTGCCTTCTTACGTGGTAAGTGGGTATATGAATATACGTCTTACTCCTTTTACTTTACTTTTTTTTTT